TCCAGGCACGTCCCACTGGGAGGAGGCCCAGGGGGAGACCCAGGACACGCTGGAGGGACTGGGTTTCTGGGCTGGACCTGAATTCCCCTGCAGGTACCAAGTGGCTGAGGAAAGCGAGCTCTGAGCCTCCCTACTGAAGCTTCGACCCCCCGACGTTTTCAGATCTGATCGACTCCTGTCGAGGTCAGAAAGTCCTCCTCTGAACTTTACTTTTTTTCCCAAAACAGTTATTTGAGATTTTGTTTTTGTTTTTTTTTTAGTATTGATCAATGTTTTTTTTTGTATGATAGGATTGAAATTTTGAAAGTGAGAGTTACAAAAAGAAAGATCGGTAATCGGTGCACCTCTAACTGAACAGATTATTCATTTAGAGCAGAGCTTTCACATCCATATATAAATGCTTTCTCCTATTTCTGTTGATTTATCTGCTTTTGTTTTGTTTTCAGCTGAATGATGCAGGCTGTGTTTGTGATTTTTCCTCACCAACGCATTGATGTCCTCGGATTTGTAAATGAGCATTCGGATCTCTTCAGGGTCTCTGCTGAAGATCGCCTGGATGAGAGGAGGCTGGAGGGGGAGGAAACAGAGAGAAACGGTCACATGGCGTGAAGCAGAAACATTTCACTTAAACACTTTGTCAAAGCGGGGCGACGTGATGAGGGAGCGTGGGAATCCTTCCTCCACGTTGGGACTGGATTCCAGTCCTCCCAGCGCCGCTCTAAAAGCTTCTCCCAAACAGCCTAGATACAGATCAGAAAAATAAAACGCTTGTGCAGAGGAAGAGTGTTTGAGAAGAGTCATGTCTACAGGGCCCTTATTTTCCCTCTCTTCATCACAGACAGGAGGTAAATGCAGGCCCCCGGCGGTCCCCCCAGGAGCCCCCGCTGCAGGCTGAGGAACACCAGAAACAAGATGACAGCAGCGCCGTAAACAGCCCCGGTTTAAAAATGTTACCACAAAAAAGCTTCATTGGACTGAAATCAGACGCATTGTTCTCTATGAGCGCCACCATGAGGTGAGACGTGTTGAGGTCTCCAGGAAACTGAGCTCCAAACTTACTGCTTAAAGCATCAGGCTGTGGTCAAGCAACCGACACGGCAAAGCGTGCGGCGGCTACATCAGTGGCTCCAACATGACTTTAATTTAACGCTGGTTTCACACTTTTTATGGAGTGAACTCTGTTCCATTATTTTTGCAAATAACATGTTTTGTAAATGGAAATCTGAAAAAAAAAATACAATCCAGAAATTTAACTTCTTATGAAATTGTTTGGAGTGTAAATACCGTTTTCTCCTTTTTTTTAATTTTATTTTGTTTTTTCAAACTTTTTTTAGGTTTTTTTTTTACAGATTTGTTTGTAATACGAGAATAAAGTCATAACATTATGAGAATAATGTTGTAATAAAGTCATAAATTCACGAGAATTAAGTCACAACATTATAAGAATAAAGCCATAATATTATGAAGATAAAGTCGAAACATGATCAGAATTAATTCATTATATTACGAGAATAAAGTAGTAAGTTATGTGAATTAAGTCGTAAATATACGAGAATAAAGTCACATTATCAAAATTAAGCTCATATATTACTTGAATGAAATTGTAAATTTATGAAAATAAAGTCATTACATTACGAGAATAAAGTCGTAAATTTACGAAAATAAACTAATATTACGAGAATAGTCATTAATGTACAAGAATAAACTCGTAATATTACGACAATAAAGTCGCACCATTATCAGAATGAAGTTCTTATATAACCAGAATAAAGTCATAATATTATGAGAATTAAGGCTTACATTTACGAGAATAAAATCGCAATATTAGGAGAAAAAGGTCGCAACATTTCAAGAATAAAGTTGTAATGTTACAAGAACAACGTGGCAACATTATCAGATTAAAGTCAATATTATGAGAATAACATTGTGGAAATAAAGTTGCAACATTACAAGAATAACGTCGTAATATTACTAGAATAAAATTGTAACGACAATAAAGTCGTGCATTTATGAGAATAAAGTCGTAGTATTACATTGTTTTTTTCTGACTCTCTCCTGATGTTGTGACTTTATTCTCATAATATTGTGACTTTTAGGAATGCAGGATATTGGGATTTTGGCCGATATCCGATAT